AATTTGCGACCAAGCTGAGATTCAAGTTGTTGATTAATGAGCCGGAGTACGAAGCATTGCAGTTAGCAGTTGCTGAAGAGCTCGAGAATTTCATGTGCATTCAGATTCTCACCTGGTCGTAGGAGTGTTGGATTCTATAAGGAACGTCATCGATATGCACATCCGAATCTAACGAATTAAATCCTTACATAGCAGAATCTATAGTTAGGATTAGGACTTATGGTTTAAAAGTTTGTCGACTCTGAGACGCAATAGATTTCATCTATTGGAGATCGTCTGATTTACAGAGTCTGTTAGGTAGCCGAACTTGGCCTCCTCAATTGATCGCCGATCGCCAGAATGTTTTCAGAACCTTTATGAAAATGTCATCGTAATTATCACCGCAATGTTGTCGGAATCTTCTTGGCTTGCTAAGAAATTCAAGAGAAAAAGAGTGAGAAAGAATAAGATTGAGAGAAGAAAGAGAGTATAGAAAGAGTGAGACGAGCGAGAGAATGATATTGAGAATAGAGAAAATGAAGTTGACTTTTAAATTTTTATAATAAAAATATAAAGGACAATTTTTTTTATGGTAAAATGACTAGTTATTAAACTTTTACAAAACATGGCCATTTTCATCTTTTTCAATTTACCTGGCTAAAAAACCCAGTTGACTGTATATATATTCATCTATCTATCATATTCTATATAAAGGTACTTTATCTTCAACTTTTTGTAGCCTCACATTTGCTCTTGCTTCCCCTCTTATATCCACTAAATTTTTGTAGTCAAGTATAGTAAGTAAGCCTTGTAAAGCAAAGTACATTTACAAGGCTTGTGTAGTAATAATAAGAGTTGGGTGAGAAATTAATTAGAATGATAGGGTGGGAAGATATATACAAAGTGGTGGGGTCGATGGTGCCGTTGTACGTGCCGCTCGGGTTGGGTTATGCATCCGTGCGTTGGTGGAGGATGTTCAAGCCCAAGCACTGCGACGTCATCAACCGTTTGAATTGCTATTTCGTCCTCCCTTTCTTCACCTTCCATTTCTCGTCCGGCATCGATCCCTACCGCCTCAACTACCGATTCCTGGCGGGGGACGTCGTGGCCAAAGCCATCGCAGGTGCTATTCTAGCCCTGTGGGCCACCATATGGAGATCAAACAACTTCCCATGGGTGATTACATCATTTTCCCTCTCCAGCCTCAACAACCCGTTGGTGGTGGGAGTTCCAGTGTTGCGTGCAATGTATGGGTCAGTGGGGGAGGATCTCGCTGTCCAATCCTCTATCATGCAATCTTTCCTCTGGTTTCCGACTCTTTTATTCATGCTCCAAATCAATCATGAACAACAACGTCAAAATAGCGACCACGAAAATCAAATCGGTGACAGTGACAAAAATAACGACGATGGTGCAACAAACGTGGCAGAGTGCACGACTATAAATTCTTCGTTGACTAGGACTACTAGTGTGGGATCAAGCATGACCAAAGTTTTGGCAAAGCTTGCCAAGAATCCCAATTGTTATGCTTGTGCTCTTGGACTCATTTGGGCTCTCCTTGCCAAAAGGTTCATACATACCTACAAGCTAACAACTTAGATACCTATACATATTTACTTTGGTCAATTAATTGATACTATTGGTATTAAATATAGGTGGAATTTCGATATGCCGGAAATAGTAGAAGGATCAGTTTTGATTATGGCCAAGGCAGGGAGTGGTGTGGCCATGTTCACCATGGGTAAGGTTACTTTTTTTATAGTTCAATATATAGTTATTTTATTTATTTATTGGCAAATTTGTCTCTCATATCACGATCTTTATCGCAGTTGCAATTTAATCATGATATTTTCACTTTTGCACATTATATCACAATCATTAGTTTGTGGCAAGCAGTTTGAAAACAGTCATAAAAAAGCTGATGTGATCGAACAACAAACTGAAGATTGTGATATAGTTTGCACGGGGTATGCATTTCGATGTACCAATTTGCAACAAAATGAAAATTGTGATATGATTTGCAAAAGTGAAAAAATCGTAATTAGATTGCAATTTCGAAAAAGATCGTGGGGCAATTTTGGCTTATATGTTATTAGTAATTGGTGATTGATTAATGTTCTAAAATTGAATAATTTAATTGATCTACAATTTAATTAATCAGGGCTATTCATGGCACTGCAAGAGAAGGTGATAGCTTGTGGTGTGAAATTGGGTTTGTATGGGATGGTTCTAAGGTTTGTAGGTGGGCCACTCACCACAGCAATGGGCTCCTTCGCTTTAGGATTGAGGTCAAATATCCTTCGTATGGCCATCATCCAGGTGACATTTTCATAACAAAATTAAATTTAAAATTATGAATGATGAATATCCAACTTTATAAAAATAATCATTTAAAATTTTGATGAGCCTAAAATTATTTCATAAGTTAAATTATAGCTAGTGTATAAAATATGTATTAAAACAATTAGCCCAAAATTATATTTTAACTGGTGAATTTAGTCCACTTTTTTAGAATAATTTATTTTATATTTTTTGGGAAATATTTGTGAATAAATAAATATGTTTAGAAATATAATGAATATATGTTTAAAAATGAACAACAAGAATTACGTTTTCCGCAATAAATCTCAATATTTGAAATTATCCATTTATATTAATATCCGCAAATGAATATTTGCAGTATTTTAATATTTTGCGCATAAAATCAACCTGATGTCTAAAGGTCGTGTTTGTCCTTTCTTATTAAAATAATAAAATAATTGTAAAAGTAAATTAATTAAGAGTTAACTGTTAATAAATGCTAGTTTTCTGCAAAGTGAAAATTATGGTATAAACTGATATAAGCGAAAAATATTTATAGTAAAAAATTATATTTTAAAACTTGATCGGTAACCACTATTTAAATATATGGGAGTGGTACAACTAAATAAATAAAACGCATAAAGCATAGAACTAAACTATAAACCTATAAAAAAGATTTAATTCACTTAACTTCAAGCCAATTAAAAGTATTTAATTACTTATTATACAATTTACGGTCTAATAAAATATATTTATTGCATTTATTATACAAACTGAAATAATATATTTATATTTTTGTTTATTTGTAGAAAGGATGTTACTTAAGATTAATATACAATGTTTGATAAAGTTTAATACATACCATTCAAAAGCATATAATATTTTCATACTTTTACCGCGTTAACTAAGTTGTATTAAATATATTTTTATCGGAAAATTTCTCACGACTTTACACAATCTAAATATAAAAAAAGTTAAGAATTTTCTTAAAAATGTAACTGAGAAAGTTTATTTTAAATTATTTTCTTAGGAACTTTTTTAAAAGTATTTAGTAGATCTTAAAAAAAATATAATACCATTATTTCCTAATAATATATTAGTATGGTTTTTAATAAATAATAAAATATAAATCTAATTAATATATTTTTTTATAAGTTTATTTTTTTTAAATTACAATTTTAAGTTTTTGTTTTTTGTTGCATATAATAATTATTTAATTTGGCAACTTATTAAAAAAAAAAATTGCATACACAAATTTACTAATTAATTCATGATGAATGAGATACGAAAAAATTGTACGATATATTTGAAACCTAATTAGGCTATAAATAAGTGGGAGCAAATATTGATTTTTATTTAATTTAATGACAATTAGTTATATTATGAATAAAATTGACATTATTTTTCTGAATATGTTATTGTATAGATATATAGAGATTTTAGTTTATTGATAGTCCAAATAAAATAACTAAATAAATATTTTATTAAATATTCTTTCTAAGAAAATAGATAGGATTAAAAAAGTTGGACTAGATTGAGCATTATTAATTTGCATTACTTCATAGGGTTTGAAGGATATATAACAATATCACATTATACTAATTTTCAAAAGTTGGAGGCGAATTAGCACTATTGTAAACATACTCAATTTTATTATTTATTTATTTATTATTATTATTAATTTGTTTTTTTTTTGATAAATTGGACCGTGTGTTTTGGATTTTTTTACGTTAAAAAAAAAAGTTAAGTTCTGACAAAAAAAAAGATACAGAAAAAAGAGGGAGTGGAACAAAATAAAAAACACGTATTTTGTAAATACGTTTTCTGCACAATTTAATTGTAAAACGTATTTAGTGAATACGTTTTCTTTTGTAAAAAAAAATTGTAAAACGTATTCAGAAAATACGTTTTACAATGAAATTGTAAAGAAAACGTATTTTGTGAATACGTGGTTTTTATGTTGGTCCACTCCCCTTCTCTCCTTTTTTTTATTTTTTGTCCACTTGTTTTTTTTTTATTTTTAATATATAAATTACCAGTGTGTTTTTGTTTACTTTATTTAATTAAAATAACATGAATTTTAATTATCCTTTAATTTAAATAATATTAAGTTTAATATATTTATCTTACATAATATAATTTCTAGTTATCATTTAATATAAATAATATTTAAAATCATTATCAAATATTATTGATTTACTGACAGTAAAAGTTTTAGAAACAAATAATAAACAATTCTACCAATTGTCATTTCCGTCTCATATTGAAGTTTATCAATGCTCCTATATAAAAAATTTCCAACACAATTTTCGGTTTTATTATATAAAAATACTTCATTTGTGCGACTTATCTTAATAAATAAATAAAAGGGGTAAATCGTTTAATGTTGCTTAATATTTAATTTATAAAATTAACTTTAATATGAACACGATATTTATTTTTTAAATTTTTTTAATATTTATTTCATGTATTATAATTAATAATAAAATTATTTTTAATACTGTATCACGTGTTGCGTACTAATAATTAAATATGAGCACGTATAGAAAATAATTAAATTATTTCAAAATATAATAATTATACGTCGTTTTACCTTTAGTTTAGTGTAAAACTACTGTGAATTGAATTGGAAGAATTTATCATGGTTGTGTCTCGTAACGATCTTGAAACTGGTTATGTTAAGATGTAATTTACATAGTATATACGTGAAGCAGGCCGCTCTTCCTGAGGCAATAACAGCATTCGTTTATGCACAAGAATATGGGTTGCACGCCAACGTACTCAGCACCGCGTACGTCACCCTTCTCTATTGTTCTTTTGCTTTTATAGTTGAAATGGATTAATTGATACCAAAGGAAACATGCTTCCGTAAAATTAAATAACTCCAGAATCTCGTGCATTTCTTTGATCGAGATGGCTCTGGGAGAGATAGGTTGCAATGTCACTAGTTGGAGATTTACTACCCTAGTTCGTTTTGCAAACGACTCAACTTATTTGAGATGATCAACTACAAGTTATCTAATTCAGATGTTACTTAACATATTTGTTTCATACTTCATGCGTCCAAGGACTTGAATTTGGAGATAAACAAAAAATCATAGCATGTTGTTAATCAAAATCCTTTCATTTATTAAGAATTCAAAGAGAATTTATAAAATAAGTAATCTTCTTAAGGGGGAAAACCTTTCAGCTTCTCATAATGGAGGCAAACACAGTTATTGATTTTCACAATAGCTCTATATGGTCTTCTGTAATTCACGAATATTTATGGAGAACTTAAAAGAGTCTAGAATAATTTTCTTTCCAGTTTGAAATATTATAACTCATCACTAATTGTAATTTTGATGAGCTTCTTGATGATTTAATCAATCAATTTGTAACAACTAGTTTACACATAGGTTATCCATATAATACTTCTATTGTTTTTTACAAAGCTAGAGTTATTATATCCACTCATACCAACGCATGTTCGACATATTGATTATCATGATGTGTAACATTTTGAACAAATTTTAACATATGTTTCATTTTATATTTCTCCTCACAAAAATTTTGTCAATAGATAATAAATTCATTTAAGAGTCTGTAATAAAACCTAGGCTCTGATACTCTTAATCAAACCGATACACTTACATAACGAAACCAAGTACTGTAAGGAATTTTACAACTTTGAGCAATCTTGAATGAAACATGTGCTTCTGTGAACGAAAGCAAATACTCCGTCACCCTATAAGTATTGAAACAAATCGTATTTTTAACTTTAGAATGGACCAATTATCTTTGCCTTATTTTAAGTAGGGAATAAACTCAAAATTCTTTTGTCTAGGAAAGTGATTTTGACATTGTGGACTTTTCTATAAAATCTCCTTAATTATTTTGCATATATATAATATATGAAACTATTACAGTTGACGGAATGGTTCCATCAGTATTGATTACCGTAAATTATCAATCAACATATGTATCGTGAAAAACACTGACGGTACCATCCAATAACAGACCTTAGAATTTTCGTATATATACTCGCACGCTATTTCATTTTGTCATATAATACTCATGTATGTATGTAACGATGATCGATCGTTATTCTAATAAATATACTTTATTTTTTTCAGGGTTATTTTCGGCACAATCGTATCCCTTCCACTCTTGATCGCCTTTTATGCCGTCTTGGAAGTTATCCATATATGACCAACCCCTTTTAGAGCAGCTCCTTAATTAAAGGCTCGGAGCCTTAATTACCATGGTGTTTTATAATAAATAAATTTTACAAGGTTGAGGGCTTCGGTACACAATTTAATTAGTTAAATGAATGCATTTGTATTATCACTTCTATATTCTATATAAATATAAAAAAGTTTGACATTTACCTGAAAAAGTAATTATTTTTCCGCCTAAAGAATTTATTTTTACTTTTATTAGTAACTTTTTAAAATATTTTTGAAAAGTGGCGCCAATTATTTAAAATTCAAATTAAAAATATCTTTGTAATTAAAGTATAGAATCATGCTGGTAAAATAAATTATAACAATATCGTATATATATGGTTGGTTGTCTAGATATAGGAATAATGATAACATTCTATTTTTAGGATGATTTTTGGTAAAACCATAAAAGATTTTTTTTGGATAAGTGCTTATGAGATTTGTTTAAGATCATATATTCAAATATAATATTTTATATTTAAAAGGATATAAATTCGTGTATATATATAAGGGATACAATGAAATGAGGTTATTTGTAGATCTCATCATCTAAGCAAAAAAATATATTATTGTATTAAATAAAATGATAATGTAAGAACATATATTATGATACCTATTATTATTAGTCGATTTGTTGTAAGTTGTAACTAATTTATATTAACTAATTTTGATTTGGAATGGCAAATTGTTACTATAATTCTAAAATCCTATCTTAGAATGAATATATGGTTGGATTTAAAAAATAAAATATCTATTATAAATAAAGATATTTTTACTATTGTTGAAAATTAAAAATATTATGTTGAAAAATTAAATCCCACGTCAACGTAGTAAAATTTTCATTCAAATATTCGTTCGGATAGGATAGAATAATAAGTTTTTTTTTTTTTTCAATTGCAGTAAATTTAGAATGAAAAAATAATTTCTACAAAAGCGTAATTTTTGGTAACAAAATATATTAATCAAACTAATGATGTACTATTTTTATAGACAAAAAAATAATAATGTTGGTGGAAAGAAATAAAATCTACAGGTGGAACATAAATTGTCATCAAAACGTATTATAAGAATGAAATAAAAATGTATACTTATTTTCATATGATATTCAAAAGTTTGAATTAAAATTAATTTAAAATTTCAGAATTAGTAAAAATTAAATTTTTAGGCGGGATTCTCCTTAACTATTTAACGTAAATCCTTAGAACTTTTTTTATTAGTATATATAGATTTAAATGTAGTTTAATTTCAAATTTTCATCCATTTAATTTGATATTTGGGTTAAATTTTACAACTATCTTAATTTATCAATTATGTCATGTTATTAAAAAAATGTAAGATTTTAAAACTTGAAAATAATTGTAAACAACTCATGACTTAGTTCATAAATTCACTTTATTAGATAATATGTTAAAGTCAACATACTTTTAAGTAATAGATTTTATAATTTTTATACACTAGGCTTTACCTTAATTATGATGGATTGAAACATGATAATAATATTTGTTTTAAAATGATTAAATATGTTTGTTTGTCCAGATTCCACGTTTAATTAATTAGGGACATATTATTTGCATGTTTGATTCAACCAATCCTTCAAATGAGATCATGGTTAATCTTCAAAAATAAATATCCATAAGTTTCTCTATATATGGAAGAATTTTGGAGATCATGTATTCGTTAATTACCTTTTGATTAATGGTATTAAATAAAATCTTTTATACACTACGTTAGTTATGTTATGATTTAGAGTATTAAAAAGAATCTTTAATTAGCCTAAAAGGTATTGATACACTGGTTTATGGTATCTAATCTAATATGATAAACAAATGAGTCCATAATTAATATACAAATAAAAAACAATAAACAAAAGTATAATATTTGTAATCTAAATTTGAGTTTCAAATTAATAATTATTCATGACTTACGGGTCAATATATTGAAATAGTCAATTATTTACATTTTAATAAATTCTCAACTACATATTTTTTTTTTTTTATTTAGATAGCTTATACAAAAATAGTAACATTTTAATTAAAGAAACAATAAAAATTCTTATAGTTATACTTATTATTCATATAAATTTTTATATATAGGATAAAATCTTACAAAAATGATTATGTTATGGAATCACATTGTAGTCAAATCAAATTTTTGAATAAAAATATTTAAAATGACACTTATTTCAAAATGAATACAATGTTATTTATTGTCAGTCATCGTGGATTGTATACTAATTTTCGATCTAGACATGTTTTTTGTAATTTTTCACAATTTAAATTTCACATAACGTTTTTGATAAATTAATATATGTAATTTTTATTTATAAATATTATTTAATGAATATTTTTAATTCATAAATATTAACGAATATCTCTTGTCCGTGCATCGCACAGGATTCGTACTAGTTTATATATAAATGAAACTTAAAATATCAACTTATGTGCTTCGTATTTATATCTTTCGATCTATGGACTTCTTAATTTTATATGTTAATTTTTCTATAAAAATTTGTTAACTGTTAGATATACATTTATGAGTTGTCCCACATCATCTGCACAGAAAAAATAAATCTAACTTATAAACCTAGTGGGCTACTTCTCCTACCATCAATTGGTTTTTGAATGGAACCTCACTTGGGTTTCATCTGTTAGCTTTCCCTGTCTTGGTGCGCTTCATCTGCGTGGGACAACACTTGTTTTTGAGAAAATTACTCCCCTTACTGTTGCAATTGTACTTATTTTTAAATATACGAATAAGAAACTTTATTTTTAATAATACCATCATATCCCATAATAAGTCATCCTCTTAATTCGTGTAACAGATAGGATATTAAATGAAAAAAGTCTCTCTCTTCCTCATGCTTTTTTCCTCCTTATTTCTCTCTTTTATTTTTAGTAGTCTCTTTCTTCCATCATTGCTTATTTTCTCCTTAATTCTCTCAATTTCCCCCATCTCACTCGTATATATCTTTTCTTCTTTACCTCTCATCCATTTTTTTTATTCTGTTCATAATTCTCTCAACTCCATTATTTCTCTCGGTCTCTCCCTTATTATTTTTATTATTTCTTTCTTTATGTTACAGTTGAGATTGCTACAATGCTTAAAGAGAACGCTTGAGGCTAATTGGGTGTAGTTCTTCAATGGCGAATAAAATTCCACCTCACGTTAATCCGAACGATGGTGATGGTGAAGCGAGGTTAAATTGTTTTTGCTTGATGGGATCGGGTGCAGTTTTTTTAGATGGGTACAATTGTTGGTTTAAAGTTTTCCTCTCATTTTTTGTTTATCTTATGTATAACTACATTCGATTTGGAGTTTGCGATCATTTAGAACTGTGTATTATATTTTTTTCAGAATTGTTTATATGTCGTTTATCTTATGTATGACTATACGGTTAATGTTAGAGAACTGTCAGATCATGTTTATCTAATGTATATATACAGTATATCTAAACATATATTAATATTTCGATGAATTTCTCTTTTCGCAAATCATGTTTATATGTTGTTTATATGACGATGAATTTCTCTTTCGCATTGTTTTTTTCCTCAGCTGGATCGATGAATTTTTTATGAATTTTTTCTATGAATTTTTGTTTATATGTTGTTTATACGACGATGAATTTCTCTTTTCGATTATGATGATGAATTTCTCTTTTGGATGAATTTTTTCGCAGATCATGTTTATAAGTTGTTTGAATTTTTTAATTTGTTCAACCCATAATCATAGGTATCATATTTGGTATGATTTTTTTTTTTAAAAAAAAAATCACTGTGATCCGTCCATTCCGGACAAGTTAATTATTTATTTGGAGAGAGAATCAGATTTTATGGAGAGAAGATCTCTTTATTTGGAGAGAGAATAAGATTGGATATAGAAAGAGAACTCATAATTATGAAAATAAACTACCCACCAACTCTTTAAATGATAAAAGACTATAGAGGTCGTACATATGCAAAATAATCTTATATGATGTATACACGTGTAAACTTCCCTTTCCCCCTTTTTTATATGGTACCAGAGCTGATATTTACTTGATAGCAGAGCCGATATTTACTTGAGAGTTGTCTCACATCGTTTATATTGGAAAAATATATCAATTAGAACTTTTATAATTATAAAACTATTCAATGACTAAAGTTATACATATACTTTACTAATTAGAAATTTTAAATTTATAAGAAAATTCAATAACTAAAATTATAAATATATTTTAAAAGTTGTGTTACTTGCCTGCTTGCCTTCAAATTTTCATACATGATATAACAAAATTTAAAATTATTTGGAAAATAATAACCAAACTTATTAATTAAATAAATATATTTATCAAGTCCGTGGTATAATATTAATTATAAAATTATTAGGATAAGTGTAAGTCATACAAGTAAAGAGTGTCATTTTTTAAATATAAATAATAATGTCATATTTAAATAGTTATTTAAAACATAAAACAAAAACTTTGCTATTAGAATTTTAGTTACCCAACTATTCATATTTTCAAATAAAAAATCAAGTTTAAAAACCAGACTTTAGGTGTCGTCTTATGTGTCATGACATATCGCACGACATCTGAAATAGTAAAAAAAAAACAATTAAACCTCATTACACAACAAAAACAAATATTAACAAATGATAAAAAAAAATAACCTACAACTGATAAAACACTTATGAGGAACGTCGGCAATGTGCGCGTCCAAATTTATTAAAAATAAATCCTAGCGCATCGAAATTTATAGTTAGGATCATGACTTACGATTTAAAATTTTGTCGACTCTGTACTGTTCGTTCCATTTTTGTCATGTTTTTCGTCTTTGTTTTATCTTTATTTTTCCCCATTTTAGGAGTTTTTCTTTGGTTCTTGGTCCATTTTGTGTCGTTTCGTGCATTTTCCTTATTTTGTTATTTTTTTATTTTCTTGTTCGTTTTTCCCGTGTTTCTGCGATTTTCTTGTCGGTGGTGATGTGCAGGTTAGGTGGCTCGGTAAGTGGCCGTGCGTAAACTAAATTTCGAGTCCGGAGGCCTACGCGTGAGCCCGACAAATTTCTGAGCCGAAAGTCCTTCACCGCGGCCTGACGGTTTTCCCGCAGCCCGCGACGATTTTCCCGCGGCCACGGTGAACAAAATTTACCTCGCGCCCATTTTCCTTCGCCGCGGCCGCCGAGAGGAAGTCGCAGCCGCGGGACCCTTCAGCGCCAGAATTCTCGCGGCCTCTGGAAGAGTCGCGGCCGCGGGCATTTCTTCACCACGGCCCGCGGGAAGCTCTGCGGCCGCGGAGGCCCCGACATGCAGATTTTAAAGAGGAGTTTTTGAAAACAATTTTTATTATGTTTTAAGTTAGGTCTTTTAACATCTCTTTGTACTTTCACTTCCAGAACTCATATTTCACTTAGTTTTCTTAGTGATTCATCTTGGAGAGTAAAAACTCTAAGATTGGTATTTTCGGATTTTGTTTTTACTCGCGATTTGACATTGAACCTTTGTATTAATCGTAAGTTTCGATTTTCATTGTATCTATGGATGCTTTGGCTTTGTTTGATATGAATGTTTATGTTAAGTTTGATGAGTAGCTAAATTCGTTAGCTAGGGCTAGGAGATTATCGTTCCGATTCGATTTTGTTTATATGCATGTTAATTGCGCAATCTTTTTGAGTTGAGTTAATCCTAGGGTTAGATGATTGATCACCATCTTATCTAATTAATTGATTTTAGAACCGGAAGGGGAGAAATTGATCGATCTAGGCTCGTTAAGAATAGACTTGTTCAGAAACGTATTGTTTATGTGCTAATTGATTCGATAATTGTTCGTGTATGTTTATTCTCTTGTTATGTGAGTTATGGAGAATGAATCTCTATATGAGTTAGATATCCGAGTCCTTTAGCCGAGTAGTTGATTGCCCGTTAAATGTAATTGAGAGCCGAAAGCGATTGTCCCTGATACCCTAGCCCCTTATCATTATTTGAATTTGCGTTTTGAATTGTGAGTTTGAAATAGCTAGCCTCGTTTTATAATTTGTAGTTGACAAAATCAAACCAAATCAATCTGATTAGAGTGTTAGGATTATTTTCCCTTTTGTGATTGAATATTTGCGCAATTTAATCCGGCCAACCTTCCTTGAGAGACGACCCGGTTTTTGAATCTTTTGATTTAACTCCGGTAAAAATACTTACAACATGTACAAACATACACAACCTACAGGGTCGGACGAATGGTTATAATTTGTTCTTCACGCTAGACTTCTCGTCCTCTCGCCTAGTTTCTCGCCATGCCTATCTTGTTGAGTCACTCGTCCATCCCAATCTCCATGTCACGCCTCTCGGTATTAGAGTCACGTCTCCTATCTCCTTGGGCTTGCTGGCCTGCTATCAATAAGCACCTGGGTTGCTGGAGGTGGTCTGGACTTGCTATGCTTCGCCTGGTGCGTGGACAGCTCGCCTTGGGTCTATTGGTGCATGGTTGTCGAGCGTCGAGTGGTCTGTGCATTGGTCATCGAGCGTCGCGTGCGTTGGGACACTAGTCACCGAGCTTCGTACGCAGTGGGGCCCTGGTCGCCGAGCATCGTTGGGTCTCATGTACTAGTGTGCGCTGAGCTCACCATAGCATGCTGTTTACAAATTCGAAAATAGGAAAAGGATTGATAGGTAAGAAATTTTAACATAAAACCTTTTTTTGTGATTCGCTAGAATTGGGAGAGGATAAAAAGGAGACAATAGGGGGACTGCGGTTTGGGAAAGGAGGAGAAAAGAAGAGATGAGATGGGAAAAGAAAGGGAAATGAGGGAAGAGAAGGCTGCGAGAGAAAAAAGAGTGGAGTGGAAAAGCCGAAAGAGAAATGAGAGAGAAATATGGGTAAAAAGAAAATAGATTGAAAAAAATAGGTTGAAAGTATGAGTAAGAAAAAAAGGGGAAATTTTTATTTATACTACTTGCTTTGAAAAATTTATAATTTTACCATGGGACAACTTTTATTTGCATCTTTACCAATTCCATGTCAATTAATTATAAATATATACCAAATTATGGAATTTTTAGTTACCAAATTAAGTGTAATCGCCTTCCCCAAATTATGAGATATTTTCAGTTACCAAATAAAGTGTAACCGCCTCCCCCTTAAGCGCAAATCATGGGTTTTCAATTCTCAAATTTTTTGAATAAGCAGTATATATTGCGTTTATAGTCAGTATATGTTCAATATATAACCTGGTTTTTTATTTACATAGCATTTTTATCTAACTACAATTGTGATATTTGATTTTTTTTTCAGTATATAACATGTCATATACATAACATAAACTGATCATAATCATTATTTTAATAAATTCTTTTAGTATATGTAGAGTATATGATAAACAAATGAAGCACATGCCAGATGATAAACACACGAAGCGGGCAACGAAAACATATACTGAAAATATACTGCCTATACACGTAACATATATTGTCGATTATGCTTACAGGAACATATACTGAAATTTGTATATAAACGCAACATATCCCACAACATAATAAATTAAACGAAAAAAAATTCTCAAAAAGTTGAACTTCATCACTTGACACATAATCAATCATTAATCATACATATATTGAATATAAATTAAAATAAAACCATAACAATTAAAATAATGATTATAAAAAAATATGATAAACACAAGTTTCCTCCGACGCCGGCAAAATCCGACGAATCCGGGACCCCGGCCTGCCCCGCTCCTACCATGACCTCGAGGTCGCGATCAAGTCCTCCATCGGAACCCTAGGCAGTGGCACCTTCCCCAAGCTTAGTTGGAGCCGCTTCCCCAAGCTTAAATAGACAATGGAAAATAGAACATACAATGTGAATTTTTTCGTCACAACGAATTCAATCATGACCTTGGCATCTCTGACCAGTTCGATTTTTACCAGAACGTGCATCAACACACAGTAGTTGGAAATCCTATGTTCGGCGAGCGATTCTTGGGCGACCAGTGGACGTGTTGCAGTGGATCGACGACGGAGGTGATGATGGGGTCTGTTGATAGCCGAGTTAGCCCAGATTGAACCGGATACTTGACCTCTCAGGACCCGAGCTGAAAACCCGGTCTGGTAAAGAGATGCCGAGCTGAACCGAAGATTAAAGATGTGCAGAACTGCCGTAGGAACGTTCCCTTAGTCCGACACCTGGCTCAGTCAGGACAAAAGCCGACCTGGATGGGTGCCGGACAGAAAGAAGACTATTCGCAGTCTCACGAACTTTCGAGTGAAATGCCGGCCTAAAAATCTGAGAAGGCCGATCAGAGGGAAAGTGCAGGTTTCGATGAGCATTAAAATATTCCCACTTGGAAGGCCATCATTGGACGATGGGACAGGTAATCATAGCCTAAGCACCCTATCAGCAAGCCTAATCAATAAAGTCTACCAGCATTAAATGCCCCCCATGCTGGCATTTAATGCCTGACAGATAATGATTGAAGAAACCTCAAATCGCATTAAATACATGTCAGAGGGACACTGGACTGCTCTTCAAGGCCACTATGCGACAAGACCGGTGAACAGTAGCTGAACAGTGCCACATTAAAGACTACTATAAATAGCAGCTCATTTCATTTATTTTGGGTTGTCGAAATTCAACTAACTCTGCTTTCTCTCTACTTCCTCTCTCTAAAACTGTAAGAAACTCATTGTAAGGATTGTAAGTATATCGTAAGTGCCGACCTCGTACGAGAGGCCGACCTCGTGATCGCCTAATAAAACCATAATTAAACCTAATCTTCCTTTCATTTTCAATCTCTCATTTTCGACATTTATCATTTTAACCGTTGACCGAAAACGCTCGTCAACAGGGTCGTTGTTGGTGGTGATGATTTGCGTCGTTCGTGTTGAGGTGGCGATTGGGGATAAGAATGAGAGGAAATTCTTGTTTCTACTCTTGACGGGATAGCCCGCATATCCCGTGGCCCGTGACGGGGTTGCGTTGGG